AAATATGTAGGGTTGTTGTAGTTGCTGTAGTCTCTGTGGCTGGAAATCCGTCAGCCTTGTTGGCTATTTTGAATATCCGAGCAAAACGAGTTAAGCACACGTCCCTTCATATGCTACTATGACGTATTTTGATTGCGCTCTGTCACTTTTGAATATTGGAATTTTGAAATGCAATTGTCGAGAATATCTGGGGAGTGAATTCAAAATTTGTTGGCCCCTGGTTGCCAGTTGGCGTTTTCTAGGTAATTATCGTTCCCCTCGATATCCACCTGTTTTTATGGTGGATTAGACCGCATTGTGTACCCCATGAGGGAATGATTAATTTCAAGGAAAGGAAAATTGTGATGAAAAAGATGACAAAGAAATCGGCTTATTTTGAGCCTTTGTCTTCAATATTGTCAGGGAGCTATTGATATCGCTCCTATTATTATCATAGTTTATTTATTTATTTGTTTATTATTTATTTATGCACTCGTAGGTGCGCTTATTACAGGACTAGTTACTGTTATTAGTATTGTGGTCGGCCTAGAGGGATGTCGATCCGGTATTCGAACCCATTACTATGCGTGTGTGAGAATGCGCTTCTTGCGACCACACCACCTCCGCACAAAATAATCGGCGAAAGCAACTTTTGGCTATTAGAGCTTTTTCTTCTACATGGTCCATGGATATACATAATACCCTTTCTGCCTTACGCTATGTATGTATTCCATCTTTTCAGACTTCATCTCCATAGTTAATTAGCACCAGATCAACCCTGAGAAGGCAAAAAGTCTGATTTGCATATGAGCTGGCTTTTGCAAGTTATTGTATGGCTTGAATCCTCCGTCATCTATAGCGGTTCCTAAGCGGATATTGAATGAATATGAGCATTTTGAAAGACGTAGGTTGAACGCCTGGGGCTTTGTGCCTCACCTTTCGAGCGATCCAAACCCAGGAAAATGAATCTTTTATTCTATGAAACTAGTCCTTGTCGATTTCTCTGGTGGTGGTTTTGAATAAAAGGGTCGTTCTTCGATACGGCCGGTCGCTCTACGAAATTACAAGTTCATGGATTTATCTAGTGAAAAGAGAACGTGTGTCGAGAACAAACATGCGAGTACGCTCAAAAGCCCAGAAAAGTTCCAACAAAATTTGGAGCCGAATAGTTTGCGCAAAACGACAAGAACCACTTCAGCAGCCTCTCTACAATTCTTCTACAACGAAGAAGTCTCTGAAAACAGCCAGTAAAAAACCTCGCAGAAATTATAGAAATTGCTAGAAAACGGAACAAATCAGGGGTCCAGAATTCAATTCTGCATGCGGTGGAAATAGAACTATCGCGAAAAAAAAAATGGTGGATGAGCTTGAATGAGTGCTTTCGCTTTCTACATAAAACAAGTGTTCAAGAAGTATGTTGTATTAATTGCTCAGTGGGTAGTTGATCTCGTATTATGACTCCCGTAAATGGCTCAAAAGTGCAGGTGGCATTATTCACTTAACCCATAATTTCTCCATGTTTGGTTGAACTCATGTTACGGCATCAATAACCACGCTTAGCCTAGTTAGAGTATCTTTCCAGTTGAAGCTGTTACATACAAGGACCATTGGGATAGGGGATTCTCTTCATTAACACAAAAAGCATGTGAAGGGGAAAAGCCAAATTTGTCCTCGTCTTATTGAGCTGCAAAAGGCTTACGGGTGGCAAACCCCATTTACCTCAGTTTTTTTGGCCTCTGAGGAGAACCGATGCGTGGACTATGTAGACTTGATAGATCTTGCAGGGTACAAGTTTTCACTTATATTTTCAATTTCTTGTTATTAGGTAATTATTAAGTGTTAATTATTCATTTGTAACAGAGGTTATAAAATGGAGAGTAAAATGGAAAATTATGAATGTGTTGAATGTGTGAATCATGAATGAATGAATTAATTACTAGCTATTCAGACATACCTGAAGTCATGAGAATTTGAATGATCAAAAGATAGAAGTCATTATCAAGTTGGTAATTGGTTGATCGGTAATTAGAGGCATTTATGGGTATTTGAAAAGGACTACATACTTATCCATGCCATGTGCTATGAATAGAAGAAATCGATCCTGGATAGTCAAGGGCGTCAGATTGCCAGCTTTATTTTCTGGAAAGAAAGAAGGTGCAACCATTAAAAATGTGAATCATTCTGCAGGGTTTACATAAATCTTTCCTTGTTTGAACTCTTGAAAAATTCTTCAGGATTATTGTTCAGCCTCAGAAGGGTGATCCATGGTGTTTTCGACAAAAAAAAAGTTTTAGAAAAAGTGCAACAGAAGCTCAAACTTTATTCAGAACTCCCCATTGCTTTCAATGACTACCAGACGGCTCTTTTAGAGCGTATCACAATGCAAAAGTTTTCTTTGATTTTTAACTAGGGCGGATTTACGGTTTCCAGGTATGGCGCATGGGACACCATTGGATCAAAAACTTCTAGATAAGACGTCATAAGGACTCAAGCCAAGTTCGTCGACGGCTTTGGTGAACCGAATCACTGGAGGATTTAGTTCATCCTTTGACGGCATCGGAATATATGCAGCATAATTACAAAGAGTGCCAGATCGGGAAAAAGTTTTTTTTTGTTGGGCCAGGAAAAAAGAAAATTGCTGTACATTATTGATGCTTACTTTCAGCAATTGCATGCATAGATTACGAAAGGAATGATATAAAGAGTATAGGTGCACGAGCCCACGCCCTAAGAGTTCAGGATAATGCGAAATTCTCTTGCTCCTCCCTCCACCACTAGTCATGCAATGGCAACGGGCCCCTAATGGTAAGATTGGTCAACATGAGTTGGGAATATAAAAAATTCGACAACCGAAAATTGTGTGGGTGGGGTGTGATAACAGATGATATCGCTTTTTTTTTTGTTTTGGTTGGTTATGAATAATCTTCCCGATGAAGTGCCCAATGGTAGGCTGATGGGATGGGTATTACCCTAACAAAACAATCATGGAAACCTATAGAAAGCTGGATATACAGCGAAAACATCGCATGCAGCGAAACCTTATTGAAACAAAGAAGATGATTGACTTTTAGATGATAAGCTCTCATTCAAATTGACCCCTTCGAACGCACAGTTCACAATAATTGTGGGGTACCCAATTAGGGTGAGATAATAGAAGTTAAGGTGCAGACTAGTGCAAAGATGAAGAAGGAAGGGCGAAGGTAGGCGGTTTTTGGAAAATATAAAGCTTTGAAAAGTTTGTAAAAAAAGGGACTGTACGAGTTTGTGACGACGGAAGCGGCAAGGAAATAGTATTTGGACGAGTCAGTGGTGCGGTAGCATGATGAACTAGCAGCAGTAGGCTAGAAATGGCAAAAGTTGCCTGTATAATAGGGGCGGTATAATGCATAGCATTTAAAAATATTTCCTCGAGAAAGAAAAAGCAGACGTGCGACTGCCGGCCCCGTATGTCGCCGTCTGTTATCGTCTGGGTGTCTCTCTCATAAGTGCACTATTTGTCAGCGCCCTAACGCTTTATTGTGAATGGTCAGCCTTGCGAAGCTCGGCCATTTTTGGGTGTGTATATATCGGACAAACCGCTCCACTCTATCTAAAGCGTTTCTCGGCTCGACAATGCCCCATGTGCTATAATCGGAGTGCACAGGTTCATCCTAGGAATAGTCTCAGTCAGTCAGGAACCATTTTACTCGTGAGTTGGACCTTCTGGCTCATGGACTATGTGCAAAGACCTCCATCAAGAATTGGACTTTATTTAGTTAGTGGTAGCTGGAGCGGATCGCGAATCTATCTCACACCCTTGAAAAAATTACCCAACATTTGTATAAAGCATATTTCGAAGAACTCTTCAATTCTACAACTCATTTTTACTTTGAACATCTGTCTATGACACGAATCTTGAATGGAAGTGGAGCGCGGAAAGTGGATATCAACAGCTCGAGTTCGGGCGGATATAATCCTTCGGGTTCGAAACGGAACTTCTGCATGAGCGAAGTAAAGAACATGAAGACCTCAAAGAAAAGCCATTATAGCTAAGTACAGCTTGGAAATGGAGGAGCGATTACCTCCATTCTGGCCAAATTTTCTCCCAGGCAAGCTCGTTTTCCCACGGAGAATCCATTAATGCGATCATCCTTTATGCATTGACCATCCTAAAAAAATTGCTGCAGTTAGAATGCCTTTTGTTAAGTATTGATTTTTTGACCTGTAATGGATATCCTTCATGGAGCTCGTATTAATGGATTAAGGGAGGAGAAAATTTGTTGTAGAAAAAGGAAGGGAGCAAAAAATGTACATGCCGGCTAGATTACCTTCAGATGCCTTTCAGGAATGATTAGTTCCGGTCGAGGGAAGATGGATTCATCCATATGAACAGACTGGAATTGAGGAATGACCCGGGTACCTTTTCGCAGTTTGTAGCCTAAGAATCAATACGGGGATTTTACAATTGATATTTAGGTTTTTTCGTGTTATTTGAGTAATGACGTCACCTTCACAATTTACATCCTTCAACGTCATTCGTAGAAAATTCACATGGAGTACGTAGCCAGCACGGTAGATTTCTTGTAGAAAAGCACAAGTGTGTGGGAGGATTTTTTGATCGTCCATGGTTATATCCTTGTAAAGAATTAGTATAAAAAGGATTCGATTATGACGGAAGTCTTTATGATGACAAAATCTTTATGGTTTACTTCAGTTAGCCTCATATAAGTAGTTTTTTTTCTATCGGAATATTTCTTTTTTAATGTGATACTTAAATGTAGCCTAATTTTTTACTTCCTAGCTAAAATTTTTTTTCACATCCGGATTTTTCTGAATCTGAAATTTGAGTTATTATTTTTTCTGTACTTCATGAAAAATCCCCAAATTCAACATGCTACAGTATCGCGCAGAGTTTTATTGATTGCTGCTTCGACTCGTTTGAGAGTTCTTTTGAGGTTTTTGTGATTAGGCCTCAATTTTTTCTTACGTTTTTTAGAACAAATAAAAAGTTACTGATAGCATAACACGGTATACTTCATAGAAAATGAAAACTAAAAAAACTAAAATGTTATAAACTTCACCGTATATAAAGTTACATACCTCTAATTCAAATCAGTTCAGGAAAAATTCGAAAAAAAAATGTGACAATTGTGAACAAATTTAAATTGCGTTTCAAAATATATTAAATTCTGTGTTTGTTATTCAGATAGTAGGCTAAATTTCAGATAATGTAATTTTTATTCCGGGACATAAAAAGTTACTATGAGAGAAGGTGTAAACATATCGAAACAGCTCATGTAAAAGCTTTTTTTTTTCAGAAGAAACCCACCGAATCACTTACCCTTTCCCGCCCAATGGCATTATCGATTTCGTTGTGAATTTTCTCCTGTATACTAGGATAATTGAGCATGTAATGGAAGCAGTATCGTAAAGTAATAACGATTGTTTCCAAACCGGCGCTATATAGATCGTAGATCGCTGTGATACACTGTTTTTCGGTGAATTCATCTGGAAATTGTTGGTAGAATAGGTATAGGTTCACTGGAGCTTGATCATATGAATGATTCGTGGAGGGTACGGTAACAGCATTATTAAGGTAACGTTTTGGACCTTTTTGGACAGCGATGGCTCTTTGTTACTGAATTATTATCTTGAATGTGAGTGAGCCAAAGGACTTTAAACTTGAAATCCTGGCTGGAAAGGGCAGTGAATGGTATTAGCTCCCTTCTCACCATCAGATGTCCTTGCACACCTAAAAGCTGACGGGTCCCTCAACAGCATTTTAAGTGGCTAGACAAATGACCAAAAGCGCGAGGTAACTAGTTAGGAATCACCGGGCGTTCTAGACTAGTCTCATTTCGTCGATTCATTAAATTGGCCATTTGCCAAGCGTGAAAATGGTTTCAGAAACTTTGACGTTTTTCTTAATTCCACTGGAATTTCATTTTTATAGCTGTCATTTTTGATGTAATTTTCTGTCGAATGTCGAAGCTTCAGCAAAATTTGATTCTGATTGAAATTTATTTTGATTCGGGTCGAAGTTTTTGTGATGGGTTGCGAGAATCCGAATTGGAGCTATTCTCCCTATAGGGATAACCGAAGCACACCAGTGGGTTTGTTTGCAAGAATTTTTACTAACTTAAATTAGAGTATCTTAAGTAAGTGGAGCTGATTAAACAAACCTACAACGCCTTCGTCCTTCCTTCGTTTAATCTCGTGGAGATAAGCATCAAGATAATTTGTGGGTTCCTGGTCATAGTTGATCGTCTTTTTATGGTAGTCATATTGCTGAATTGAACAATTAGCTTAGTAAATCTCATTAGATCTACTATTATTCTCTCTCAATTTGGGCTAAACTCGTTTTTTCGTTCATATCCAAAACAAATGAAAAAAAAAAAGAAATTGCGTATCCAAAAAAAATTCCCTACAAAATTAAATCTATTGCAAACTGTCTGAACTCACCTTTTGGATAAATTCTAGAATAGCATCGTTCCCATGTAGTGTCGTTTTGATACCAAGTCCAATGAATCGATCAAAATGTCGTAAAAATGGCATGATATCAAGAAGTAGCATTTTTGGATTTGTGAAATGCTCAAAGACCTTAAAAGGAACGAATTACTTCCTCGTAGTGTTAAATCATATACGATGAAAAGAAACCTCGTTCAGGTTAGTCTGGAATTCGATGATTTCCTTGTCTTCATGTGGTCGAATGAATCCGAAAGCCAACTGATTGATTACGTTCCCCACGGCGTTCTGAAAAAGAGCAAATCTGATTACTCATCTTTTCTGTCTTGAGAGTGCAGCTCAGTAAAGGAGAAAGGGAGGGGGAGCGGGTGGTCAGAAGAAAGATACGATCGCAAATCCGTTCACTGTCGTTATATATGTAGCTGCAGAGAATCCTCATCATGGAAAGGCAACCCAGACTGTTTCCCTTATCGGTATATTTGGAGCCAGAAAGGATCGATCACCAAGATGGGTGAGATCAAAAGGGTCGCACATTACATCACTACCGTAGTCACTACTTTTCCAGTGCCGGAAACAGAATCTTCGCTCCCGGAAAGGTGGTTCCCGCTTTTTGGCGAAGGTGCAAGTGTGGTGCTCGCCGACCCACAATTCCCTGTATAATCGAGTAGGTCATTTAGTCCCTCTACGATTCTAAAATGAAGCGAAATGGACAGTGCATTCTCTGAAATCTATGAGTTCCTTAGGCCTACTATTCTCCTTTTAGCAAAAATAAAACTGGTCTTAACTGACTGTGAGGTAATTCCGAAGCTCTATCGGTTCACCATTTGTTTGTCGTAGAAGGTCGACGGTTCGATGGGCGAGCATTGTGATTGCCTTCTGAAAATTCAGAAGTGACGAACAAGAAGTTTAGGGAGTTTTCCGGCTGTTCGGAAGACGATCTGCTGATTGGCGTTTATTTATTTTCCGCTGCGTTGCCGTCAATGAACATTTTTTATTCTGGTGTTCTCTTCACTTTATCAGTGATTGACTCACTCCCTATGTATAGTTAAAGATTGTATTTCCAAATTTATTCTGGTTTATCTCTGATTTTTTTTTATCATTATTCATCACACTTTTGTGTCGCGCTAATCAATTATCTGCTCAGTCCTAACCCTTTCTCACCCTATTTTACACAAACCCTCTTTCTCTATCAACTGGCTTAAACGTTCCGCCTGGTTTCTTTCCCTTTTCTTTTTTCTCCGCTATCGTTTTTCATCGTCTCTCTTTCTCTTTACCTCTATTTCCCTTTCTTTCCCTCCCCCTCTTTGTTTGCGTGCACCTCTCTCTTTTCCTCTCCCTCTCCCTCTCCATTTTATTCTCATGCATTGACATCTCACTTTCTTTTTAAGCCTCTATGTCTTTTTTTTTAGACTTTTGAAATTTGTTTAACTAGTGTCACCCTGAGATTTTAGATCCCTCTTTATCTTTCCACCAGTTGGGCTACGCACGCTAATGCGCGCACCACATGCCCACTACCGCTTACCTACGACTTGTTAGAGGACCAATATGAACAGTATCGGTTCACTTCCCATTTGATAACTGTTTCCCCACCACGCTCACTTGACATTCGCACTCTTCATTGTGCCTACGTGAGGAAGGACGTACAAACGGGCATACAAACAGACACACTAAATTACCGGTCTATATATTGGGTTGTAACATAAGTTCGTAGAGTTTTTTCACAAAGATTTGTCTGAACCAAAAAACAATAATTATAATAGTAAATTAACCAATGATGTATCCTCCGCTACTGTTCACGACCTCTTCCCATCTCTCGACCAATTTGTTGATGGCGATTCACCAAAAATCGGCCGTAGTGGTGTTGAAGAATTTGTTGAGCCAGTTTTCAAGGTCCCCTTCGCCATCGAAGGTAACACCCCTCATTGGGTGTAACATAGAGCGGAAAAGGTGCTAGGTGCAGGTGCAAGGTCCGGAGAGTGCGCTGGATGCTGAAGA